GATTTGACGTGCTGTTGAAGTGTGAGCAAGGTAACGTCTGTGAAGGAAATCAGAGAAAAATGAATCGGGTGACGTTAAGATTTCTTGGTCATAAGTGTATCTTACAGACTCTGCTTTCCTGGAAAGTTAAGAGAGTGCTGGTAAATGTGTTTTCGTCTTTAAATTACACAGTGTAAGTTTTTTTTTTCTCGTTCATGTCAAAATGGTATACCATGCAAAAGTTCCTTGTCAGATGGTCAGTGCGTGAAGGCCTGTCTGATGGCATCCCACAAGTTCCATGATATTACGTTTTTAGTCCATTTGTGTGTAGGGAAAGGCAGGGGTTTGTGAAGGATTGTTATCCAGATACCAGTAGCTGACATTAAAACACTGTGTTAAATTATGGTACCGGAAAAGTTGCATCGTATATGTTGACCACTTTGTGGGAGGAACAGGAAACTGGGACAAACACTTGAGGACCATCAGCAATAACAGGGAACATACTCCGGTGGGTAGAGTTTCTTAGGGAAAGGAAGTAAAGAGTGATTGTCTGGGAAGAGTAACAAGCGGGATTCCGCGAAGACTGGTATTAAAACCAGTGCTATTTCTGGTTTATGTGAACGACATACCAGATGGGATTGGATTAGATGTATTTGTTCGCTGATCTAAAACTAAACAGAAAAACACAAACACATGAAGACTAGTAAAAATTGCAAGTGAATATGGACAAACTTCAGGGTTTGTCAGATATGTGGTTGTTTGAATTCAACCCCAGCGAATGCAAGGTTATGAAGATTGGGAAGGCGCAATAAGACCAGACACGAATCATAGACTCTGGGTGGGGAGAGAGACTGCAGACCTCACTCAAAGACCTAGAAGTGAGCATACTGTAGGGCCTAGTTACTAGGCCCTACAGTAACTATATGCTAGGGCCAAGTTACTAGGCCCTACAGTAACTATATGCTAGGACCAAGTTACTAGGCCCCACAGTAACTATATACTAGGGCCTAGTTACTAGGCCCTACAGTAACTATATACTAGGGCCTAGTTACTAGGCCCTACAGTAACTATATACTAGGGCCTAGTTACTAGGCCCTACAGTAACTATATACTAGGGCCTAGTTACTAGGCCCTACAGTAACTATATACTAGGGCCTAATTACTAGGCCCTACAGTAACTATATACTAGGGCCTAATTACTAGGCCCTACAGTAACTATATACTAGGGCCTAATTACTAGGCCCTAGTATATAGCCAGAGCCTCACATCAACCGAAGAACCTCTGAAGCCAATGCTCGCCTGACAGATCTAAGAGTATTATTATTATTATTATTATTATTATTATTATTATTATTATTATTATTATTATTATTATTATCATGGGGAGCGCTAAACCCATAGGATTATACAGCGCATGTGGGGGGATGGAAGGCATTCAGGCTCAGTTCAGGGAACTGGAGCACAGATCCAATTCCCTAGATCAAGAGCCCCTCACCAGCGTCAAGGAACCTCCCTTGAGGGGTCACTACTGCATAAAGGTAAACAAAGGAACTTATTAAAAAGCAAGTTATAATTATTTCATGGAGGAAACTCTAAGCCCGTATGGGTCACATAACGCTGGCGAATGGGAGGCAATGTAGTATGATCCAAGGAAAGATATGATAGCTTCAATTCCTCGGATCAAGAGCCCTTCAGCGGCCTGAGAGCACCTACCCTTGAAGTATGGTTTAGAACTTACATATCAGGTCCTCCTGTTATATGTAGATCCTGTAATATGTAGGTCCTGTTATATGTAGGTCCTGTTATATGTAGGTCCTGTTATATGTAGGTTCTATTATATGTAGGTCCTATTATATGTACGTCCTGTTATATGTAGGTTCTTATATGTAGGTTCTATTATATGTAGGTCTTGTTATATGTAGGTCCTGTTATATGCAGGTCCTGTTATATGCAGGTCCTGCTATATTCAGGTCCCCCTGCTATATGCAGGTCCCCTGCTATATGCAGGTCCCCCTGCTATATGCAGGTCCCCCTGCTATATGCAGGTCCCCCTGCTATATGCAGGTCCCCCTGCTATATGCAGGTCCCCCTGCTATATGCAGGTCCCCCTGCTATATGCAGGTCCCCCTGCTATATGCAGGTCCCCTGCTATATGCAGGTCCCCCTGCTATATGAAGGTCCCCCTGCTATATGCAGGTCCCCCTGCTATATGCAGGTCCCCCTGCTATATGCAGGTCCCCCTGCTATATGCAGGTCCTCCTGCTATATGCAGGTCTCCCTGTTATATGCAGGTCCCCCTGCTATATGCAGGTCCCCCTGCTATATGCAGGTCCCCCCTGCTATATGCAGGTCCCCCTGCTATATGCAGGTCTCCCTGTTATATGCAGGTACCCCTGCTATATGCAGGTCCCCCTGCTATATGCAGGTCCCCCTGCTATATGCAGGTCCCCCTGCAGGTGAAATTGCCGACCTAGAAAATGTACAGAGAACTTTCACGGCGCGCATAACGGAGATAAAACACCTCAATTACTGGGAGCGCTTGAGGTTTCTAAACCTGTATTCCCTGGAACGCAGGAGGGAGAGATACATGATTATATACACCTGGAAAATCCTAGAGGGACTAGTACCGAACTTGCACACGAAAATCACTCACTACGAAAGCAAAAGACTTGGCAGACGATGCACCATCCCCCCAATGAAAAGCAGGGGTGTCACTAGCACGTTAAGAGACCATACAATAAGTGTCAGGGGCCCGAGACTGTTCAACTGCCTCCCAGCACACATAAGGGGGATTACCAACAGACCCCTGGCAGTCTTCAAGCTGGCACTGGACAAGCACCTAAAGTCAGTTCCTGATCAGCCGGGCTGTGGCTCGTACGTTGGTTTGCGTGCAGCCAGCAGCAACAGCCTGGTTGATCAGGCGCTGATCCACCAGGAGGCCTGGTCACAGACCGGGCCGCGGGGGCGTTGACCCCCGAAACTCTCTCCAGGTAAACTCCAGGTATATGCAGGTCCCCCTGCTATATGCAGGTCCCCCTGCTATATGCAGGAGTCTGGAGTCACAAACTACGCACAAAGTTACAGTGTGAACAAAGGAAGCCTCGGTAACCTGAGTGATTCTTCAGGAGCTGTGACTACCACCACCTTGATGGTTGTAACACAAGGACGTAGTGGCAGACACACCATCATGTAAACCCCAGCCAACACAATATATAATTGAGATTTGCTTTGTGTCTGATGCTGACTCAATCTGAACAATGAACTGTCACCTTCAGCACCATTTTAATCCTCGAGACTCGCATAGGGGCAAATTAAATAATTTAAATTAAATATTCCGATGTGTTGCTGTTTTTAAGGAATGTGTAAAATAAGGTGTTAGATAAATGTATTGTAAAATGGGGTTACAAGAATAATATAAACTGGTATCCACCTCTTTCCTGATACAAAGGAAAGGAAAACGTAAACTCTCGTTTTCTCTCTCCCTCACTACACTTACATTCATCAGGTGTAAACTCGCATTACATTAATGTATTCTTTGTTTTAAAGCTCATAATCTGGATGTTTGGACAGTTTATAAATCTCATTATTGTGACCCTTCCAATGGAAATATGAGAACCCTAATGGAAATGAGTCACTCGGACTTCTTGGGGGTTATTCTAAGTAAATTTATTCAGGTATACACAAATACAGTTATATAGATTATCATACATAGTAGCATATGTGTGGAAAACCTGGGATAACCCAAAAAAGTCAGACAAAGTGACTTATTTCCACTGTGGTCCTGGGTAATTTACACTATGAGATAACCGATTTATGTGAAACCTGGGCAGCGCTGTATAGCCCTGTGGCTTAGCCCCTTTTTTTATAATAATAATAAAATATGTTACCTGGAGTATACCGGGAGTATCCTGAAGTAACCGGGAGTATCCCTAAAAATACCTAAATATGGGTTTTTCCGGGTACAAGTCCCTGAATAAACTTCATAAGAAAAATTTTTACTGTCTTAGAGACCCTTGCGCTGGTGATGGGTTTTGATTCGAGGAACTAAAATTTGGGCCTCCTCTTTCTTGGATCCAAAGGGGTTTATGGGGGAGAGAATGGTATGGGAGGATAGGAAAAGGGGAGTACAGGCTAGGGGGATTTTGGGGGAGGGGTTTTTTGGGGGAGAGAATGGTATGGGGGGATGGGAAAAATGGGAGTACGGGTGGGGGGATGTTTGGGGGGGAAAGTTTAAAAGGGGAGAGAAGGGTTGGGAGGATGGGTAAGGGGATACAGGCTAGGGGGATTTTTGGGGAGGGGTTTATAAGGGGAGAGAAGGATGGGAGGATAGGTAATGGGAGTACAGGCTGGGGGGTTTTTTTGGGGGGGGGTTTAAAAGGGAGAGAATGGTATGGGGGGTTAGGAAGGGGAGTACAGGCTAGGGGGATTTTGGGGGGGGGTTTTATAGGCAGATGGATGGGAGGTTTAGGTAAGGGGAGTACAGGCTGGGGGGATGTTTGGGGAGGGTTTATAAGGGAGAGAATGGTATGGGAGGATAGGTAAGGGGGAGTACGGGAAAGGGGGGGATGTTTGGGGAGGGGTTTATAAGGGAGAGAATGGTATGGGAGGATAGGTAATGGGGTACAGGAGAGGGGGATTTTTGGGGGGGGGGGTTTATAAGGGAGAGAATGGTATGGGAGGATAGGTAATGGGAGTACAGGCTAGGGGGATGTTTGGGGAGGGGTTTATAAGGGAGAGAATGGTATGGGAGGATAGGTAATGGGAGTACAGGAGGGGGGGATTTTGGGGGGGGGTTTATAAGGGAGAGAATGGTATGGGAGGATAGGTAATGGGAGTACAGGCTAGGGGGATTTTTGGGGAGGGGTTTATAAGGGAGAGAATGGTATGGGAGGATAGGTAATGGGAGTACAGGAGAGGGGGATGTTTGGGGAGGGGTATACAAGGGAGAGAATGGTATGGGAGGATAGGTAATGGGAGGATAGGAGAGGTAGTGGTGGGTGTGACGTCAGGCCAGACTGAAGCTCTCAACCTTAGTGTGTGATGATGGTGCAGACTGAGCGGCCGTGTTGCCCATGTTAGTGTAAATTTTAGTGTAAATATTGGGACTATATGTTGAATCCTAAGGAATTTACCAGTGCCTATAAACATGGGATTATGGAGGTGCACTATATTATACCTGCTAGTGATCCTGTGGCAGCAATGTGAAGGTAAGTGATGGCTGGACGAGGTGACTTCCCTACACTGCCACTCCATTCCCTACAAATTCACTCACAAATCTCTCCTTTTTTCGTTTTTTCCCCCGTTTTGGATGGGTATTTGGGTGGGTAGCACTTGGGGCATTGCCCCAGGGATGCCAGGATTAGTTCCAGGAAGGTTGGAACAATGTTTGAATGGAGGTAGTGGTGTTTTTTGGGACAATTTTTGGGTGATGGTGAGGGAGGGTGTTAGCTCATCCCTCAACCTAACATTTTCACTGCTGTAACTTGCCTTTGTATCTCTTTAGTGTCTTCCTGTACCCAGGTGCTCACCTCTGGGGTTTTTGTAACCTCTAGATGGTGTAGTTTTTTTTTTTCACTAAACAAAGCTTTGTAAGGAATTGTAGGGATGTTATTCATTATGTACTTGAAAAACGTCACTGGTTCTTTATGTTAAGTAGTTTATATTAATTTTATTCAGTATTTGGAAAATATGTATGTATATATACATTGTGTAATGTAATATATATATATATAAATAAAATATATATATATATATATATATATATATATATATATTATATATATAAATGTAAAGTGTGCATATATAAATGTTATGTAATTGTGTATATATAATTATATGGATAGTATATAATGTATGTGCATATGTATATAATGTATGTGCATATGATATGTAATGTGCATATGTATATAAAGTATGTGCATATGTATATAATGTATGTGCATATGTATATAATGTATGTGCATATGTATATAATGTATGTGTATATATATGTATATAATGTATGTGTACATATATGTATATAAAAGTATGTCTACATTATGTATATAATGTATGTCAAAATATATGTATATAATGTATGTCTACATATATGTATATAATGTATGTCTACATATATGTGTATAATGTATGTGTACATATATGTGTATAATGTATGTGTACATATATGTATATAAAGTATGTGTATATATATATGTATTTAATGTATGTGTATAATATATTATATAATGTATGTGTATATATATGTATATAATGTATGTGTATATATATGTATATAATGTATGTGTATATATATGTATATAATGTATGTGTATATATATGTATGGTTTAGAAAGACACGTAAGCAAACACTATAACATATTTATTAGAAAACGTTTCGGTCCTGGGACCTTGATCACTTCTAACATACAGAGTAGAAAGACATTATATATATAGGCGGAGAGTGAGATGTGACGCACGTGACCTGAGGAATGTCATAAGAACATAAGAATGGAGGAACACTGTAGAAGGCCTACTGGCCCATGCGAGGCAGGTCCTTATCAAAACAATCCTCTACCTATGATGAGGACCAGTAGACGATGGTCTACTGGTCCTCATCATAGGCAGAGGATTGTTTTGATAAGGACCTGCCTCGCATGGGCCAGTAGGCCTTCTACAGTGTTCCTCCATTCTTATGTTCTTATGACATTCCTCAGGTCACGTGCGTCACATCTCACTCTCCGCCTATATATATAAATGTCTTTCTACCTCTGTATGTTAGAAGTGATCAAGGTCCCAGGACCGAAACGTTTTCTAATAAATATGTTATAGTGTTTGCTTACGTGTCTTTCTAAACCAACTTGTCGGTATTTATTACCAAGGTTTATACCATATATATGTATATAATGTATGTATATAATGTATGTATATATATTATATATATATATATATAATATATATATATATAATAATATATATATATATATTATATATATATTATATATATATACATTATATACATATATGTATATATATATGATATAATGTATGTATATATATATGTATATAATGTATGTGTATATATGTATATAATGTATGTGTATATGTTTACCTGGAGTTTACCTGGAGAGAGTTCCGGGGGTCAACGCCCCCGCGGCCCGGTCTGAGACCAGGCCTCCTGGTGGATCAGAGCCTGATCAACCAGGCTGTTGCTGCTGGCTGCACGCAAACCAACATACGAGCTACAGCCCGGCTGATCAGGAACTGACTTTAGGTGCTTGTCCAGTGCCAGCTTGAAGACTGCCAGGGGTCTGTTGGTAATCCCCCTTATGTGTGCTGGGAGGCAGTTGAACAGTCTCGGGCCCCTGACACTTATTGTATGGTCTCTTAACGTGCTAGTGACACCCCTGCTTTTCATTGGGGGGATGGTGCATCGTCTGCCAAGTCTTTTGCTTTCGTAATGAGTGATTTTCGTGTGCAAGTTCGGTACTAGTCCCTCTAGGATTTTCCAGGTGTATATAATCATGTATCTCTCCCTCCTGCGTTCCAGGAATACAGGTTTAGGAACCTCAAGCGCTCCCAATAATTGAGGTGTTTTATCTCCGTTATGCGCGCCGTGAAAGTTCTCTGTACATTTTCTAGGTCGGCAATTTCACCTGCCTTGAAAGGTGCTGTTAGTGTGCAGCAATATTCCAGCCTAGATAGAACAAGTGACCTGAAGAGTGTCATCATGGGCTTGGCCTCCCTAGTTTTGAAGGTTCTCATTATCCATCCTGTCATTTTTCTAGCAGATGCGATTGATACAATGTTATGGTCCTTGAAGGTGAGATCCTCCGACATGATCACTCCCAGGTCTTTGACGTTGGTGTTTTCGCTCTATTTGTGGCCAGAATTTGTTTTGTACTCTGATGACGATTTAATTTCCTCATGTTTACCATATCTGAGTAATTGAAATTTCTCATCGTTGAACTTCATATTGTTTTCTGCAGCCCACTGAAAGATTTGGTTGATGTCCGCCTGGAGCTTTGCAGTGTCTGCAATGGAAGACACTGTCATGCAGATTCGGGTGTCATCTGCAAAGGAAGACACGGTGCTGTGGCTGACATCCTTGTCTATGTCGGATATAAGGATGAGGAACAAGATGGGAGCGAGTACTGTGCCTTGTGGAACAGAGCTTTTTCACCGTAGCTGCCTCGGACTTTACTCTGTTGACGACTACTCTCTGTGTTCTGTTAGTGAGGAAATTATAAAATCCATCGACCGACTTTTCCTGTTATTCCTTTAGCACGCATTTTGTGCGCTATTACGCCATGGTCACACTTGTCGAAGGCTTTTGCAAAGTCTGTAATATTACATCTGCATTCTTTTTGTCTTCTAGTGCATTTAGGACCTTGTCGTAGTGGTCCAATAGTTGAGACAGACAGGAGCGACCTGTTCTAAACCCATTTGCCCTGGGTTGTGTAACTGATGGGTTTCTAGATGCGTGGTGATCTTGCTTCTTAGGACCCTTTCAAAGATTTTTATGATATGGGATGTTAGTGCTATTGGTCTGTAGTTCTTTGCTGTTGCTTTACTGCCCCCTTTGTGGAGTGGGGCTATGTCTGTTGTTTTTAGTAACTGTGGGACGACCCCCGTGTCCATGCTCCCTCTCCATAGGATGGAAAAGGCTCGTGATAGGGGCTTGTATATATATGTATATAATGTATGTGTACATATATGTATATAATGTATGTGTACATATATGTATATAATGTATGTATACATATGTATATATGTATATATGTATATAATGTATGTCTACATATATGTATATGTATGTGTACATATATGTATATAATGTATGTCTACATATATGTGTATAATGTATGTCTACATATATGTGTATAATGTATGTCTACATATATGTGTATAATGTATGTCTACATATGTGTATAATGTATGTGTATATATATGTATATAATGTATGTCTACATATGTGTATAATGTATGTCTACATATATGTGTATAATGTATGTGTATATATTATATAATGTATGTGTATATGTATATAATGTATGTGTATATATATGTATATAATGTATGTGTACATATATGTATATAATGTATGTCTACATATATGTATATAATGTATGTCTACGTATATGTATATAATGTATGTGTACATATATGTATATAATGTATGTGTACATATATGTATATAATGTATGTCTACATATATGTATATAATGTATGTCTACATATATGTGTATAATGTATGTCTACATATATGTGTATAATGTATGTGTACATATATGTATATAATGTATGTGTATATATATATGTATATAATGTATGTGTATAATATATGTATATAATGTATGTGTATATATATGTATATAATGTATGTGTATATATATGTATATAATGTATGTGTATATATATGTATATAATTGTATAATATATATATATATATATAATATATTATATATATATTATATATATATATTATATATATATTATATATATATATATATATATATATAATATATATATTATATATATATATATATATTCTATCAGTAATGTAGGGATGAACTGTCTTGTAAGACTGTATAACAAACAAGCAGTTGTGACATTTGTTTGTTTTGCCTTGTTTAACATCACTATTTATGGAAGAAATCATAATATGAAAAAAGCTCATTGGTAATTTTTTTTATCACTTGTATAAACATGTGCTGCTAAATACAAGAAGTTTAACAAGTCTGGTTGGAAATCCTTCTCACCAACACTGTTGGGTTGTCTTGGTTTAAATCAACATAATGAACTATTGTTGAATATATAAAATACATATGTGCTTTCAGAGAAAGAGTACAAATTTATTGTACTCCTGTGTGCAGAATGGGAAGATTTTTATGAATAAAGTTTGTTTTCCTTGTTAAATAAATTGAGAATGAAGCACTTGCCAGTAAGTTCATGTGCCAAGAATAACCAAATTACTCAACTTGTCTGATTATGTTTGTTGATGGATTTAAATCACTGGTGGATTTACATTTTTATAATTATAAGGATATTTACCTCGCATTTGTATTTGTAATTTTGTGACTTGTCTTGTTTAATACCCCAACGAAATAAAATGGATAAACTGCATGTATCAATTACTACATAAAATTTATGCTATTGGTCGACAATATTGGTTTAGTATAGGGGGGGGCGAGATGTATTGAAATCTGTAATGTACATAGAAAGACTCCCG